GCTCTGAGCGGGATGGAGCGAGGCTGTGGGGTGCACAGCCCCATAGGAGGGTGCAGAGCCCCATAGGAGGGCGCAGCCCCATAGCGGGACACACAGCCCCATAGAAGGGCATGGAGCCCCATGGGAAGGCATAAGGACCCATAGCAAGGTTCAGAGCCCCATAGCGGGACACACTGCCCCATAGGAGGGCGCAGAGCCCCATAGCAAGGTTCAGAGCTCTATAGCAGAGCACAGAGCCCCACAGCAGGGTGCACAGCCCCATAGGAGGACACACAGCCCCATAGGAGGGCACACAGCCCCATAGGAGGACACACAGCCCCATAGGAGGACACACAGCCCCACAGCAAGGTTCAGAGCCCTATAGCAGGACACACAGCCCCATAGGAGGGCACACAGCCCCACAGAAGGGTGCAGAGCCCCATAGGAGGGCACACAGCCCCATAGCAAGGTTCAGAGCCCTATAGCAGGACATACAGCCCCATAGGAGGACACACAGCCCCATAGGAGGGTGCACAGCCCCATAGGAGGACACACAGCCCCACAGCAAGGTTCAGAGCCCTATAGCAGGACACACAGCCCCATAGAAGGGCATGGAGCCCCATGGGAAGGGATAAGGACCCATAGCAAGGTTCAGAGCCCCATAGCGGGACACACAGCCCCACAGCTGGACACACTGCCCCATAGGAGGGCGCAGAGCCCCATAGCAAGGTTCAGAGCCCCTATAGCAGAGCACAGAGCCCCACAGCAGGGTGCACAGCCCCATAGGAGGGCACACAGCCCCATAGGAGGACACACAGCCCCATAGCAAGGTTCAGAGCCCCACAGCAGGGCACACAGTCCCATAGGAGGGCGCACAGCCCCGTAGCAGGACACACAGCCCCACAGAAGGGTGCAGAGCCCCATAGGAGGGCACACAGCCCCATAGGAAGGTTCAGAGCCCTATAGCAGGACATACAGCCCCATAGGAGGGCGCACAGCCCCATAGGAGGACACACAGCCCTCGGTCCATCAACATCCCATCCTGACCCCAAAACTGCCCCCCCCCGCCCCCATTCCCTGCGTTCTGCCCCACAGGCAGACGGGGCAGCACAGACAGCAGCTGCTCTCCTGGGCTGAGCCCAGGACCCCCGGCGGATCTCCCCACTGATCCGCTCATCTGCAGCTCTCATTAAGGATAATTAACACCCCGATTACCGAGGGAAGACCACCCCCCCCCCACCCCCCCAGCAAACAGCCGGAGCTCAGCACCTCCCAGTAATAAAACCAAACTTTTAATGACGTACAGCAGAGCCCCGCAGCCTCGGCTGGGGGGTTTTGTTTTTCTTTTCCTATTGGACAAAACCCAAAGGTTTTCCTATCTTACACCCTATGTACAGTTGCATACTGAAGAGGTAAAGTGTCTCAGTGGCCATCAGGCAGTCCGTCTGTCCGTCTGTCCGTCCGTCCGTCCCCCCCTCCCCTCCTGAGCCCCCCCACCCCACTGCAAAGTGCAGCGGGTGGGAATTTGCTACGTGGCCCCTTTGGGATGCGCTGCTCCCCCACCCCATGGCTGGGGATGAAGGGGGGGTGAGGGGGGGCATCAGTGCATGGAGGGGATGGAGTGTCCTTAGAGAGCAGCCCTGACCCCAGAACTGTGATCTTGTGACCCTGACCCCATAACTGTGACCCTGACCCCAGAACTGTGATCTTGACCCCATAACTGTGACCTTATGACCCATAACTGTGATCTTATAACCCTGACCCCATAACTGTGACCCTGACCCCAGAGCTGTGACCTTATGACCCCATAACTGTGATCTTGACCCCATAATTGTGACCTTATGACCCCATAACTGTGACCTTATGACCCTGACCCCATAACTGTGATCCTGACCCCATAACTGTGACCTTCTGACCCTGAGGCTGCACTGAACCCAATCGTACCAACACAGCATTAGGAGCTGTGGGGTTGGG